AGATTTGGATGAAATGATGAATACTTTTCTACTACTTTTTTAACTGATCGTGAATTGGTAAATTTACCTATGTTAAGCCTTCATCGTAAAAATTAGCTTTGCAGAAGCACATCTGAAGCGCTTCTGCAATCAATAGTGGTATAACTATTTCACATACAAATATACCTATGGATCTTGACAGTTTAGCAAATGAGCTAAATGGACTCTTAGTCGCAAGGTACGCAAGTTTTATATAAATTTATGACCTATAAAGCCAACACCAAGATTAACAACAGCAGAGATTTGAATAAGCAAGGAATTCTGATGCTTCAAAGGCGCTTGCCTCTGAGTTTTTGCTTTTTGTTTACCCGTCGATTACGGTAGCTTCGTAGCAATCTCGCCGTTAATTTAGTAGTCATTTCGCCTTGATGAATCACATGCCTATGACTAACGGCATCATTGGCAGCGCTCTAATGAATTCGAATGTGTTTAAGCGAGTAGTTGGGTAAAAAGGAACAAAGTACCAGAGTGAATCTCTGCAAATTCAATATAATCCGAAAAAGGGTATCTTTAATTTTAAAAAACCAAATAAACTGAGTAGTGATAAAAACGGAATACTGCCATTGCAGCGATCGTCTGCGCAGTCTCCGAGCGTGTTACAACGATGTATGCGCTGAGGAGTTCATGCTTAATGAAGTTAGAGAGCACTTAGCAAATTGTCGAAAAACTGAGGAAGATTTGGAAAATGAACGGAAGAGCCATGCCGAAGAGCTTAGACAGATTAATCAGGTACTGACTCCCAAATATTGCTTTCTTTTCTTATAATTGAAAATTTTTAGGATATTAATCAACTGGAGGATATCCTTAAGGCATTGCGATCTGAGCGAGAAACCAAAAAAGTGCGATTAACTCAACAAATGGAAGAATTAAAAATAGCCATGGAACATGCCAACGAGAGCATTCGAGTGAGGCGAAATTTACTCAGTTCTTAGTTAAAATCGACATAGCAAAATTGTTTAGGCTGCTGATATTATTAACGTAACCTTTGAAGAAGGCGATAGCATACCGAGAGAGTTCCTTGAAGGGTAAAGAAGATAATGCGACTCCATAATTGTTTTTTTAGAATAACAACCTGTTTTCAGATTTCTCAACGCTTCTTCTGTAAAACCATCTATAACGTCACTGTCATTTCTCGGCAGTCAATTCCGATTTTTACCTGCATTAACAATGGCAACGGCACCAAAACCGCCTTCACAAGATATGAGTAAGATGAAGGTTTGTTTGCCAATGTTCTTTTTTTTGCTAAAGTGGTGAAGAATATTTTCAGACTTGTGAAGCTTGTGGTGCGCAAATACATAGAAATGCCCCTACTTGTCCTATGTGCAAAACTCGCAGTCGAAGTAAAAATCCAAAGCGGGCAAGAAAAAGAGATGACTGATTGAATATTTTGAAAATTTAAGCTTAGTTGTATGTAATAAATTGTTTTTTCTTCACTTCTTTCAAATAAGGGTATCACTGTCCTCATGCGCGGCGATCCTGTGATTGCCCAATGAAATCGTCGATCGCTTACTATCATGCCTCAAATACAGTTGAGATTCAACTCCAACTTC